ATATTGGGCTGTCTTCTTACGTTGATTTTTGGTTTTTTGCTTTGGATGCTGAATGATTTGCCTTTACTATTTTGATTTTGATTTAAGAGCTTATTTGCTTTTTTGAAGTTAGGAAACATGCTTTGAAGACGGTGTAGTTTACTGGGTCCTCCATTTAGTTGGATGTTATGAATTCACTCATTATCTTCCCCAAATGTGGTATTTATAGGGTCCAATGTCTCAAACTAATTAACTCTTCTTAATTTATCCGCTTTTAACTACTACACTAATAACAAGCAGATTTACATCATTACTACCCTCGCCAAGTAACTTGTCCTCAATTTCAAACAATCACGTCAATCCAATGAAGGCTACTAACCATCCATCAGCCACAATCTCTCAAGCAATTTAATTTTGTGTGCTAGAACGACAATGGCATTGCCAGAGAAACCCTTGACCTATAGACACTTGAGGAAATCCTTGAGTTCATCATCCCTTGGGACCATGAGTGTGGCATCCAATCAACAACAACAACATCAAGCCTTTGTCTCACTACGTGGGGTCGGCAACATGAATCCTTTATTGTCATTGTGTCCGGTTAAAAGTCCAATTGATCAATATTGTGCAACAATTGTGCGGTTATAAGCATTTGCACATCCCACTATTCTATAATTTCATTAGCACACGGGCTTGCGATGTCATTTTCAACACAATGTAAAGGTTGATCTTCAAGAATGTTTTCAATGATCTCAAGAGGATGATCAAACATCGAAGAAATTTTAATTGAAAGAATTCCAAGAACTCATCATTTGTTCAAATACATTCAGTGGTAGCAGAAAAATGCCTGTCCATCCATATGCAATGAGGCAATTATAAAATGCAATGCATTGGATGGATTGTGGTAAAAAAAAAACTAAGCAACCTTAACAATTCATTTTTATTGATTATCTCCATTAAAACTAGGAATGTCTATTTTAAAGTTCTTGAATGACTAACTAAACTCTCTTCCATTATTGATTTATGATGTAACTGCTGACCCAAATTGTTCTTCATGTGCGGTAAACATCTTAGCATGAATGCAAGGAACATTGAAGAAATGGTCACCAGGTAGAAGATGCAGTGGTTTTGAGAAAGGAAATTTGATTGGCATGCTCTTGTTTCTCTTAAGTAAGAGATTGAGCAATTAGTATGCCAAAATGGAAGAAGATGCTTGCATTGGATTATAATCTCCTAGAGTTTGGGATATGCGCCCACAAACTATGTGGTTCTTAAGGTGAGGTGGCGGCTGAGATAAAAAAAACTTGAACGGATGCTGTGCATGATGAGTATTGTCACATACTTGGCATGAAAGTCGCAACAACACATGATGAGGTTTGCAATAGTGTGTTTTTTTGTGGAGATGGAGTTGTTAGAGGTGCAACCTTGGTTGCCTAATTTGGATCCGGTTGTCGAGGAGGTTAGGATGGGATATTGGACAGACAAAGGATCAAGAAGGATCTTGCAATAACGATAGTGTTTGTTTTTATGGTTCTTGAATAGATCATCAGTGGGTTGGCACATTTTATAGGAACTTCAGATATCGGCACATTTGTCCAAGCGGGAAGGAGCACCTCGCGGATTCTAAAAGAAAGCAAACGCAAAGATTGATGGGATTGGGTTAATATAGTGATATTAGCTTGCTTGCGATCGACAAGGTGTGGGTGTTGGACGAAGATGGCTGCTACGATTCACAACCGTGGGAGATGAGGTGGGTAAAGGATCTTTGAAATTAGCAACCTAAGATTGGATAGGCAAATCGTGGGTTTGACGATATCTTAAGTTCTCAATGCTAGAGAATGATGTTGTCGATGAGATTCATAAGAAGCTTGGTTTAGAGCGATCTAGAGCAAGAAGGCCGTCTACATGATCTTGAATCGACTCGTACAAGGCAATGATGTTTTGTGGTTTATTGAATTAGTGATATTTTCCTTTCTCGGCAAGAGCACCAATATTTGGATCATCAATTGTAATTGGACATTTTGAGCTATTTAACACTTCTAAAAGAAAAAATAGAAACCCGAAAAAATAAATTTGGAAAACTTTTTCATTATTCTCATGTCAATGTTCTCGCCATATGGGTATCTATAGAATATGATATCTTAAGGTAATTAAGTCCTTCTAATTAATCCACTGTTAACTACTAAACTATGTGCAAGTGGATTCATATCATTGGATGTAGAGTTTGTTTGGGGCATCCTTTGCATTGTTTTGTTTTTCAAACTGTTGTCATACTTATGTTAGGTTGCAACTTTCTTTTAGTTTTCCATAAATTATTTTGTGATGTGAAACAGCTTTTTATATCTAAATATGCAAGTGTGGTAGCTTAAAATAAAATAAAAAAAGCTATTTTATTACCAGAAAGTATTGTTGCATGTTACCCCATGTCTAGCATGGCTCATATCTTAATATGTTATATGCATTTTTACCTGAGAATCTTTGATATGGGTGTATATTTGACCATACATAGAGCTGATAAATAGGGAATTTATTCTCTGCTTAAAATTCCTTTTATTTCTAGAATAAGAAAAGTGGCTAGTTTAAGAGAAGTTGATGCATGAAAGTATGTCCATTATTGTAACTGGACTTATTTATAAAAAATTTGAAAATTAAGACTAATTCATTAATCTAGAACATATGATTTTGAGAGAGAAACCAGCTTAAAAATTGTTGTGTCTATGCTGATAGGCGATAACATGTCTTATGGTAGACAGCTATAGCTTAAGAGTTCTCAAACTTGATGGGCATCTTTTTTTTCTTTTTCAGAGTTTAGAAATGCATGCTTATGTCGCTGGAACTTCCTTGGGGATGGAGAGAGTTCTTGATGAGGGCATCAGATTCCGACATGTGTATCATCGCCGGAGGCGCCAATCGACGGCCCTGATTCAGAGTCTTTATTTTTGATGTCTTGTTATATTCATGTCATTTATATTTTGTCTTTTCCTTTTGTACCCCTATGAGGGAATTGGTGATTGTTGTTGCCCAAGGGCATTGTAGTCTTTTATTTTCTGTATGTTGTGGAGCCTATATAAAGGCTAAGTCTTTGTATTTTGGATTATTATTGAATGAATGAAAATTTTCGTGCCTTGTTTTCTTTGTGAGTGCATGAAGATCTCTTGGTGAGTTCTTCCATCAAGATCTCTTAGTGAGTTCTCTAATTTTTCTTTTTTTTTTTTCTTTTAATTGTTCTTCTTAATTTTCTCCCCACGAGAAAGCTCTACAAAATTCCCTTTCCCCTAGTTCTTACCGCCGGCCCCCCTAGGGTTTTCCCCACCGCCGACCAAGCTCTCCACCGCCGCCCATCCCCTTGCCGAGATCCCTTCCCCACCCGACCGGTCTCCCCTCTCTTCCACCAATTTCCAATGTGAAATTTGAGATTCAAATTTTGAATTGTTTCCTAATTTGGAAATCCAAATTAGGAAAGTTTTCATGAGCAAATAAATTTCAAATCAAATTAATTTGGAATTTTAAATCCCTTGCCACGTCATCAAATCAAGTCTTAATTTCCTTTCCCCTCTCCCCAAATTCCCCCCTCTCTTCCTATGCATGCCGCCGGCCACCCCCTTGGTGGATTGCATTTAATTACCCCATTAACTCCCTTTATCCTAATTTGAAATTCAAATTAGGAACCATTAATTTTCCCTCCTATTTGGATTTAAACTCAAATAATTTCAGTTTAATCCCTTCCCTCTCTCCTTCTCCCACCGCCGGCCTCCCCTCTCTCTTCCCCCCATTAATTCTTCATTAAGGAATTAATTCCTCCCTCATTGGAATTCAAATTCCCCCTCCAAAATTCCCCAAAAGCTGAAATTATTCTCAGTTTTTGTTATTGTTCTCTACACACACCTCCCCTCACCCCACCTCCACCGCCGGCCTCCCCATCCATCATCCAACCCGCCGCCCCCCATCTCTCCCCTTGGAGATCTAGTTGCGGCGACCACCCTTCCACCTCTCCAAGGATGCATGGAGGTCCCTGAGTGGAATTTCGGGTTTGAATACGACGACCACGGACGAGTGGACATCCTCCGATCTCCCTTCTTTGACGTCGGATTCGACTTCGACGACACCGTCGAGGAGTATTTGGCCCGGATCGTACCCACTCTCATAGAGTCCGTCGACGATCATTTTTCAGTTTACACTTGGATCGTCGAAGGGCGTCGCCTTGCACCACCTCCACGACCCGCGCC